ATCTGAATCACATTTAACTGCATTTGAGCAACTTATTTTTCCCAAATTTGCGATCAGAACATTGGTACTCGCGTTGGAAATCGGCAGAATAATTATTGGGCTACTAATTATGATATCAAGCCTGAAAAATACAAAAGTTATTGTTGAACTGTTTAAATTTTAAAAATGTCTAGGCTCACCAATTGTCCTGGTGATTTCGCTGCGGATGAACTGGTCCGATTTGCTCGACAGCCCTAATCTGCTGCACAAATTCCTTAGCCATATCCGTAGCTTTATTACCAATGGAGTGGCAAACTCTCTACAAATATCAGGAAGTGTTATAATATAGGGATATAAATGGTATCAAACTTACCGCAAGCTCCTTTTGAAATACGTAATGCAAGCGTTCACATCTCGCAAAAACCTGGGACAATGAGTATATGAGGCGGAGGCCATACGCATTTGGAAAGTGCACGTTGTTTTGTCACTCCAATGACTTTGAAAACTAATTGCGTCACTTTCGTCGCTCTTTTCTTCATTGTAATTATTTGAGTATATTTCATTGGAAAGCTGACTAAGAACTGTTTGTTTATTTGTGTCGGAAGCTCTCAAAATTTGATCACGGCCCACAGAAAGAATCCTGGGATGGCAAAAGGCCTCAGAAGTAATGTCGATTACTTGTATTCCGCCAAGAGATCCGAAAACAGAAAGATCCGATTGAAAAGAGGCATTGATTTTGGCTCCGTCAAAGTGACAGTTCCAACTTTTCGACCAACATTAAATTTGTCTCTTTTGATGGTATACAAAAGTAAAATATTCAATCGGAAAAAATCAAAGAATATTTCGTTATGGTTTTTACGATCGACTTGATCATCCAATTCTATTGGTATTTCAGTCGATTCTTTTGTTGGCTCTGGGCTTTCATTTAAAAAATATTTTGTGCCAAAAGAGTCCTTTTTGCGAAGTTAAGAATTTCAAGAATAGTATCCTGATTAGCTGATTAGAAATGTTGGAAAATAAATTTTATGATGTTGAAAAACCCAAAACATGTAAATACCAATTATATCCAAACTGTTAAACGTGATGTTGGTGGTGTGAAGTTGCTTTGAATTGCTATCATTGGGCGGAACAATTTTAATGTCAACCGATATTAGCGCCTGTGAATCCTCATCCTCGCACAATTCTGTTGATCTATCTCCTAAAAAAATGCATTAACAAATAAATTAATAACCATTTATTTAATGTTAAGTAGATATAAGTTAAGGAAATTTTTTATCAGCACAATTTAAATTGTTAATATGCAGTTAGCTCGCATTATAAATAAATTATCCTTTTCTCAATTCGTACATACCCATCCTAATATTTTGAACTGCTTTTGTAATCATGTGCGGACTAGTAGCTCTATCGAAAAAATTTGGAGATCCAGGCGAAGTCGGAGAAACAATTGCGCTATGTTTAAGGCTGCCAGATAAACTATCCATTCTATAAAACGCATAAATGTTTTTGAAAATTGATTTGACTATTTTAAATTTAATATGAATATATACAATGCACAAGCAATCATGCACACAGAACAAATTATTCAACGGATATTAAAAAAAATATTACTAAGCTAAGCAACGAAATGAAAGCAATCTATAAAGCGTTGGCATAGGACTATAAAGGAGGTACATACCCGACATGTCGGTGGCTAGCTACTAATAGTTCGAAATCAGGACCGAAAGACTGAATGGCATCTACCAACAGCAATCCGTGAACCGACATGGAAATATTTGTCTCGCTCGATTCTTTTACTAATCCAGCTCGTGCCCCGATAATTTGCAGCTCGGCAATACTTCTATCTGTCGATTGCATTTCTATGACCAGTTGGTCCATTACAAACTCAATGACGACTCGACTTCTATCGTCTTCAGCCAAGTTTTTAATTCGTTCACTTGCGTAAATCGTGTTGCCTCCTCTGTAAATATCTTCCATTTCCTTTGATGCTTTAATGATGGGTTTCATAATGTTACAACAATTATTTATGAGTTCTTCATTCCCATGGATTAGTATTGTTGGACAGGTGCCAAAGAGCATAAAGAAGGATATTCAGGATCGACAGTGAATATATTTCTCTGCTCAAGAGTAAGGTTTATGTTAAATTTATCATAAGATGGAAGTTCGAGGATGTTTTTAAGCAAGCTTGCCACCTTTCTTCATATTTGCAAACCAAAACTTGAAGGTTGGTGAAATTTATCAAGTATTTATCGTAAATCTTGTTATGCAGAACGTACTCCAACTGAACATTTTTGTTCAGAAAACTTTCCTTTTTGAATTTTCAAGAAGGGTAGGAGATTCTGAACCACTTTTTCTGATGCAGGTGGTGTAGAGCATGGTGTCAAATAGGTTTCATCATCGTCGCTTGTATTCTCCGTTACAGCCGATTCTATCACAGGTATAACTCTCTTAACCTCCATTTTTCGCATTTCCAGTTTTCCAAAGTCCAGCAAGACCATTAGCGAATTACTAACTTGTAATTTTCCAAGAAAATTATACGAGGGGCAAAAATTTCGATTTCGAACATCCAAATCTTTCGGTTTACCTAAAAGAAGAATATCAGCACAGTGAAATTTTACTTAAGAATGATTTACTCACCTCATTGCCGCTAAACATCTCATTCCAGTTTTTCATAAAGTCTGTTTTCTTCTCGACTCTGTCGGGCGGTGAGTATTTATTGGAATTTGCATCAGCCAAGAAATCCAAGAGCCACTGAATTGCATCCTCATTATAGATAAGATCTAATCCTTTTGATTTTATATTCAGCTGAAATCGTAAGTGATTACAATTTTCGTATTGTAATTGGAATAGGGTATCCTCCTGAAGCGCATTCTTAACTACTTGGTTGGGTGTGGCTATATTCCCTGTTTGCGGCTTAATTAAATAATTGTGCATTGTTTCACTACTGGTTTTATCTATTAAATATACTTCTTGTAATGATATGCCCACAGTGTAAGAAGTTAACTGTGGGCTTAACTGGAGGTAGGCAGAAAAGTTATTTAATTGCATTTCCATTGACTTCCTTCGGCCATCGTTTAATTTATCTTCGGTCTGAAGAATTACCAATCCTTTGAGCAGCTTTATTGAAAAGTGCCCAAAACAGCATCGCTTTTTAATCCGAAGAGTTCTGAAGTGAGTTTTCCAAGGCAACTAGAATATCGTCTTCCAAATGTTTCAACGACTCATCTTGTTCGTTATTGGGGGTACTGGGACTGTTGGCGTACCAGCCCATCCAGTTTGGAAACCAATGAAAGAGCATATTCTTTCCTTGCTCGCTGTGCGATTCAAAGGAAAACCCTTTTGTGAACACTTTTTCAAAACATATCCTTCTCATTATGGTTAAATCCGAGATATTTCTGTCGCTTTCAATGTAAGCTTTAACTCTTTTTCTTCGATGGACAGATTTTCATTTGGATTCAGAATAATCGTTTTATAAAGAAGCATGTAACGAAGGTTTTCCTTAAGAACCAACCACTTTTCTTCATTCTTTTTAAAGTCAAAACCATGACAAACGGTAGCATACTTCCACCATGAGCTTGGATTGCTTTCCACGCTGCAATTGGGCCGCTTTAACCTGTATTGCCGAACTTTTTTGACTTGTCGTATGTCTGAGAGCTTATCTAGCATTTGAAGCCGCTGGACCTGGAAAATAACAAATTAATTATAAGAATGGTTTATAAATATAAGCAAACAATATAATAAATTTATGGGGATAGAAAAGTTACTTAAATGTTTATCTAACTGACATATTTTACGTTCATTTTAAGGCTTGGTTAGGTGGGAAGTATCACAATTTGTAAAACTCGATAATGAAAGTTACCATATTATTTTATTACCAAATAGACAAATAGAGGGGAAAGTTTCGAATTGGCTTAGGCATTTTAAGTGTCTAAACTGAAAAATAATTGCCATGAACTTTAGACTTTTCTTTTTTTAAATGTTGGCTCCGCAATTCACCTTCGATATGTCTATGACCACCTCGGGAACCAGGAGTTCGCAGGAAACCCTGGGCTTGTCTTTGGTACGTATCACCTGTAGGCACTTGTCGCGCTTCCACCTGGCCGTTGCGCAAATGGGCTTGATGATGAAGTTGTGGGGCCTCAACTCGCAGGTCGAGTGCAGTTTCTCGAGAATCTCCTGGTTGGAGTACGACTGACATTTGATGTCCTCGTGCAGCAGATCCCAGTAGACCGAGAGCTCTTTGAGCTCTACCAGCTTATAGTTCATTTCGCTGTTGCTCATCTTGTACGACCCATTGGTCCAATCACAGTCACAGCTCTGGGCGGTCAGGGATCCGATCTTGATGCCTGTGCATATCTTGCTCTTGCCGGTGTCCACGATGTCCTCGAAGCGAAAGTGGACATCGGATATTTTAAGCTCGATGTTGTCAATGATGTTGGTGGCCATGTTGGTGCCGTACTTGAGCCAATTGTTGTAGGAGGAAAAGTAGTAGGATTCCATTTGCTTGCCCTTCTCGGACCGCCATCCTGCTTCTGCGGCGTCGAGGACGGCCAGCTTGTACTCCAATCCTGCACCTTCTCTTCTCGTAGTCCCAGTTGTCCAGGTTCTTTGGACAAATGATGCAGAACAACCCTCGATGGAGATGCACCAGGGTGAGGTCCTAAACTGACGGACAGGGACCTGCAGTTTGATTTTGCGTATGCTGCCGGCGGTGACTTCGACCGGCAAATTGAAAGAACGGAGGGCATCTTTGCGAATGGGTATGTTCTCGAGCTCAACCTCGCCTGCACAGAAAAAGATATGGTATATTCGATGCGGAATAAAGATAAACAATTATATCACATTACCCGATAGCAGGGCCACTGACAACTGCGCGGAATTCAAGTTCTCCAGGTACTTTCCAAGATACGTATTCAACACCCACGTTATGAGGTCCCGCAACATTCTTGTTTGTTTGCCGAGGACGCTAATCCTATTAAATATTTGTTTTTAACTTCTTTCCTCGGAACCAAAACTATAAACATATGATTGGGGACTATCTGCACCGCACAAATGTTGCCGAATCCAGGTGGAACGTGGAACTGGAACAGGTTGGGAAAATAGATGGTCTGAGAAAACAGGTGGTTTAAATATATGAGAATATGATATAATATATATTTTAAAATATTGTTTTAATACTAATTTATATAAATTGGGTGTGTGTAATTTGTTAATTTTTTTATTCAAAAATATTTGTTTCTGTTTTCTGACTGACAATTTTTTATCGGTCATGTGCGATAACCCACAATACCATCACTAATTAATGTCAAAAACAAAAATTATTTTGCGTTTCCGAGGCAATCTGTTTATTTTTTGAAATGGCCGATCCCAACGTACCCAGAGGAGCTTTAAGTTTGCAGGTATTGTATTAGAACCCTCTTTTTATGAAAAACCATTTAAATATCTCCTTTCCCTAGAATGTCTGAAATATACAGTGCAACACCAGATCCAAATCCAATGCGGAAATTCCAAAGTTGGACGAAACAGCAGATGTTGAGGTTTGTAAACATTTCTAACTTGAATTTCAATAGAGTTATGTATATTTATTTATATGACAGTGAATAATAGTAACTTGTCGAAACATCAATAATCGGACTGCTTACAGTAAGTCAGTCGAATAATCTAGAACTTTGGCCAATGGCCATGTGCTACTCTCAGCTGGAACTATATTCATATTATAGGGTATTCTTCAAATGGAAACCCGAAATAATTAAAAAAATAAGTTTCAATTTATAAAAGAAAAGTATTTCCTAATATTGACATCTGTCAAATTATCTTATCTTTACCGCCAAACCTTTTATAAATTTCAGTTTATATGTACCCTATTATAAAGCTTAGATCCGTTTTAGTCAATCCTAGCCTTTGCTCTATTTAATCTTGTGACTGTAAAACACCATATTATTTCAGAGAACTCAATTTTTGGCCAATGCCCTAAATGCCATGACAGTGGATGCTGTGGCGGTTATGAAAGAAGCTTTGTTCATATTGGACAGTCCCCAGGCCAGCACAGACGACCAGATCGAAAGCTTAGATGTCATAAGGAGCCACATAGACGACATCGATAATGCCATATCCCTAGTGAAGCTGGGCGGAACAGCAACATTACTTCGCTATATAACACTGGTGTGGACAACGAAATACGATCCGCGGCCCTCAACACGGTTGCCGAGGTGGCGCAAAACAATGTGTTTTGCCAGAACGCCCTCGTAAACGATAAATTCCTACCTGTTCTTCTGAAGAATTTGAGCGATACCGATCAAAACATAGTACGATGTTCCTTGTATGCGATATCAACGCTGATACGAAACTTTGAGCCTGGATACCTCGAGTTTAAGCGAATCCAGGGTATCAGCGCTTTGATAACCTGCTTAAAAATTGCAAATGTAAACGTCTACGTTAAAGCTGCGTTCCTCATCGCATCTTTATCATCAATCGACCAATCTGTCAAAGGTATGTGGGAATCACTTTTAAACTCTTCAGTTTACGTGAATCTTTACCTTTATCCCACAGATGATTTCTAAAAGAAGACGTGTTTCCGGTGCTAGTGGACAACCTTAAACCCGTTGAGGACTTTGATATCAAAACAGAAACCACTCTTTTCGCACTATCATCACTTTCGCTGGAATCAGACCTAAAACTTTCTACCGACAAACGCGAGGAAATCCTGTCTACTCTCCAACAAATCATTTCCAAAAACAAACAGTCCGAAAATTGTGAAGTAAGGTTTTAATATATCTATTGCTATATATCAAATTTCATACCTACTTTATTTACAGGACATGGTTACATATGCAAGAATTATTGTGGACAACTTAAATGCACGTTAAGGGCTAAATCAAATCAGTTTTTCACGTAAAATGTAAGCTAAATAAAACAGTTTCGAAAGTATATATAATTTACAAAACTTTTAGGAAAACACATTCCTGTGTTTTTAATTTTGTAACAATTTATTAATTTCAATTTGTCATTATGTCGGCAATGTGTCAAAATCGTCTCCAACTGAAACGATCGGAACGTGTTCCAAATTAACATCAATCGGATTGTCGCAGAGCCTATTTCGTTTCGCGAATAAATTCCAATCCATGACCTGAACGGCGTGCAGACTTTCGGCCTCGTTATGATGCCGCAACACCATGGATTCCTGAAAGAATAATATGAATAAATAATCGCATAGGAAATGTACTAAGTGGGTAAACGAACCTTGATTTTCTCCCACTTATCGTCGACATCTTGCAACCAGCTGAGTAGCAACCGCCCATTGAATCGACAGCGAGCACTCTTTTCCTTTCGTCCTGCTCTGGAGTGATCATGTTGTAGACCTCATCGTCCTTTAAGTATGTACAAACGGAATAGGGAGCCGGTTGGCCAGATATGCTCCTAGCAGCCTTCGAGTGGACCCGTATTATCTCCTGCTCAACGTTCATGCACAGTTTTTCCCGCTCCACGGTGTGCGCTTGGATCAAGTTTTGTCTGGCCTTCTCCTGGTCCTGATAAATACTTTCCATGGCCTGCGGTACAGTGCGAGGAATATCCGGACTTGAAGTTTCCGCATTGCGACTTAATAAGTACGTTTTCTTCGTCAGAAGATAGTCGTTGTATCCCTGCGGAGGTCTTGGCTTCACCGGATACAAGCTCTTCCACTTCTTCTCGATCTGACGACGGATGCTCAAGAACATCTGGAAGCCATTGGTGAACGGATGTCATGCGGGTGTGATTCTTCGGAATTCACTCCGGAATCTGCGGCATTCGAGTTCTTCGAACTGTCGTCGGTGTTTTTGGCCGTATCTTCCGCTTTCGCGGATGGAGTTCCACGTTCGAGGGATTTATCTCCTTGGACGAGGAAGTTGATGACGTCGAGGGGCTTGGAACATTGGTGATTGTCTCCTGGTCAAACTGGTGGCCTTGCGGGATCGGACTAGAAGTCATGTTGCCATAGGGTAACTTCACATCCGCAGGATCGTTGGCATGATTGGATGACGCCGGCGATGGGGAGCTGCTCTGCATTTGCGGGGAGGAGTTATTGGAACTGCGCTCAACACTGGTCACTCCTGTGCGATGAGAGCTGCGCAGGACTCTCAGATTCTTCTCGTCATTAAAGAGCTTTATGTTCTTGTCGTCCAGGGCTGTGGAACAAATGCTGTTGCTCTTCTGGGGACTCTCGTGCGGACTAATAGATTGATTGGTTAGAACGGTGTCGATGGAATCGCTGTTGGAGCTAACCACATAGGGCAGGGCCGCATTGCGGGAGGCTGTCACTTTGCCGGTCCTCAGCACATTGCCCTCGGTGTCGATGGAGCAGTTCTGTTGCGGGATCACAATCTTCAGTGGTGGCACCTTGAGTCCTCCGTTGTACAGGCTGTCGTTACTCTTGTAATCATCGCTGCACTCAGTTTCGTTCTCGATGTCCACATTCTTACTAGTCTCTGCCTGCTCCTTGTCGGCACTGCTAGAGGCACAGCTTTTGTTTCCTGATGGGGATCCCTTCGTCGCCGCTAGCTTGGAGCCCTTTTCCACCCTGGAGGAGAGTTTTAGGGAGGCCCCCTTCAGGTCCTTGCCATGCTCAGAGTCTTTCCGTTCTTTTTCTTCACGTCCTCGCCAGATTCCTCGTAGTCCTCCTCTATGTCTGAGTAACAACGCTTGGCCGCCGAAGTACCCTGATGATTCGAATCGCTGTTTTTACCATCGTTGCTGCTTTCCTCCGCCGAAGACTTGTCTTTGCTGTCCAGGACCTCTTGCTTCTCGTTCAGGCAGGTCTCATCAGTATCGGTGTCTCCTTTCTTGGATTCATTCTTCTTTAAATTGGTGCGGGATGAATCTGCAAGAGCGAGAATCTTATACAATACATTTGACGGCTGTGAGATTTAGATTGCAATAGTAAGATGGGATCAAAAAGAGATTATTGTTTGTCCTTTGTATTTTGATTTATAAAAAAAAATCTTTTCTGGCTTTAGTCAATGTATTAAAATTGAAATATTGAAAGAAGTGCTTCTTAGCAGGGAATTGAGTGACAAAAAGTTGAAACCAGTTTTTCGGATACTTGTACCTTACTTTATTCCTGTTTTACGTGCGTAGAGAATCAGATACATTTGTGTACATATGTAGAAGGTGTAGTACCATTTCTGTATGTAGATATGTAGGAAGCTAAGTTCCCACGGCATGAATTGCGCTTTGGGGACCAAAATAAAATATGCTGGGCAAATAATTCTAACTACTCCGGATACCCGATGAAGCAAACATGAAAACATTGTTTTCCACTTCACTTTTTGTATATTTACCTGTCGAAGAGGTGGTGGCTGTCATTTGAATAAGGCGTATTTGCTGCCTTTCAGACATCGGCGTATTTGAATTCGATCTAGGTTGGGTAGCTCCTGTATTAAATCCTATCCCCTTCGGTCTTGGGGGTGGCATACTCTTTTGTTCAGTTTGTAAAAATTAAAATATAGAACAAAAACAGAGACTTGTTAAAGTCTTACAAAATTTAATACAAAATTAATAGTGCGACCGTATCTTGAATGCATAAATACGCCGGCTTGCGAATATATTAATGTAGATCTATGAACAATTATGTTATTGCAAATGCTTAAGTATAAACACAATTAAATTAATACAAAAGGTACACAAAATTTTAATTTTTTTATTCATATTAGTGACTGAACTAAAAATGTACCTCCTCCAACAAAGTGCGTTCCTCTGTCGCTTTCGAACATTATATGATGTTACTGTTTTTCTGAAGGATCATGATTATGTATTTTTCAATTAATTATTGAGGGATTGTAATTTTCGCTTTTTTCATCAAACCGAAGTTATTTATCTAGTTCGTGTTCCGATTCCACTGGGTTTCTGCGTTTCTTGGCGTGTGACCGCTGGTCGAACGGCTAAAAATACAGAATCGTAAGAAGATATCTCAACGCCCTGACTACGGTCACACTCGGTTTTATTTTAGAAGTGTTGCAGTGTAAGTTATTTTTATAAAAAATCGTTGTTAAATTGGGATTATTTAAGGAGTTTGCAAGGCAATACAGCTGGTAATAAGGCAAAATTAAAAGCACTCCAAGATATCATCTATTAGCAAGCAACGGCATTTTGAAAGCAAAATTCTATGCACGCACACATAAACATATGTACTGGTGCGTATGTGTGTATGTTGCAAGTAAATATAACCACGGCTGCCACTTGAAGAAAAGTTTGTGCTGGAAAATATGATCCATTTTACATAAATAATTGAGTCCGATTGGGAAAGTACCCCATCTGCATCTCGTGTGGCAAAAATAAACAGAAACTAGAGGCGCATTTGCCGCCCCAACTCTTCCCTACTAGTGACGAATGTGGATCGAATGTCTAATGCACCGAAACTTTATGTTTATGTGTTAATGGATTAATGTACATAAAGTGACTCACTTTTTTAAGAGACTGGAATAAAGTGAGCTAGGGTGTTGTAACCCTATTTGTAATATTAGCCCACTGCCAGAAGCTTTTCCGGCTGAAAAGGTGGGAAAACTTTGTTGATCTTGATAAAGAATCGAGTGATCCCGTCATATACGACTCACAATCTCTTTTTACGCAATCTACATAGATTTCCAATTCGAAAGGCGTGTGACGAAAGACTAAGATAATATAAATACTGAATAATACCAATATCTAGTTGAAGACTATTGTTGTGATAATATTTTGAACAAGTCTGTTAGGGTATTAAAAGCTTCGGTCTTTAAAGACATCGACTTCTCGGTGTTGATGTAAGCAGTTATTTTTTGCCATTCGTTTTTTGTTTATTGCATGACGCCAAGTGTAATTAACTTTCGCCCATAATTATACCTATAATAAACGATTCAATTAGGCATTAATACTTTGTATCAAAGTGACATGTTTATGTAAATTTCACCGGCTATGTTGATAAATAATAAAAGATGTTAGGTCCTACAAGGACATATTCGATATAAATCGAATATTTACCTACCCCTATTTTCCACTTGTAAAAATTACAAACCGATTGGATTTTGTAAGGAACAAATTCTAATTGGCTATAAGAATCACACTTGACTTGTATTTCATGTTATTTAATGATTAGTCCTTTATATTACTTTCCCAAAAGTTATCGTAAATACGAATATAATAAAGCGGCAGTTTTCGATTTGCAACCCCCCTTTCTTATCGAACATGCGCACTACCAATTTTTTTTTCATTGTATTGATTAAGGCAGCTTGAATCATTTTATACACGGTTAAAATGATTGTCTCCAAAGCTATAAAATCATACAGGCTGTAAAACACATTAAATAACTAGACTAACATCTATAAGATCAGAGATCATTCATGTTATTACACTTATAGATTTCATGGTTCGTTAAAACACTTTTTAATCGGATTTTGTATATGTTTTGCAGACAGAAAATTGAGAAAATCGGCAAAATGACGCAAATGTCGCAGGACGAAATAATAACCAATACGAAAACAGTCCTCCAAGGCCTCGAAGCCTTGCGAGTGGAGCATGTTTCGATTATGAACGGAATCGCAGAGGTCCAGAAGGACAACGAAAAGTCGGAAATGCTGCGGAAGAACATCGAGAACATCGAACTGGGCCTTAGTGAGGCTCAGGTGATGATGGCCCTGACGTCCCATCTGCAGAACATCGAGGCCGAGAAGCAAAAGCTCAAGACACAGGTGCGCCGCTGCACCAGGAGAACGCCTGGCTCCGCGACGAGCTGGCCAACACGCAGCAGAAGTTCCAGGCATCCGAGCAGCTGGTCGCCCAATGGAGAGGAGAAGAAGCACCTGGAGTTCATGGCCTCCGTGAAGAAGTACGACGAAAATCAGGAGCAGGACGACACATGCGAGAAGTCCGCACCGATCCGGTGGTGGAGCTGTTTCCGGACGAGGAAAACGAGGACCGCAACAACATGTCGCCCACTCCGCCCAGCCAGTTCGCCAACCAGACTTCCGGCTACGAGATTCCAGCACGTCTGCGAACTCTGCACAATCTGGTCATTCAGTACGCATCGCAGGGCAGGTACGTTCATCCAAAAATATTCCTACACATATTCCCTTACTTGCAATTAAGAAATAGAACACTATGGTCAACAAGTTCAAATTTATTTTATTTAATTTGGATTACTTCACGACTGAAAACTTCAATTTTTATATTTAACACATCTTAATCATTTCATAATAATTGTATCTATATTTAGGTATGAAGTAGCCGTTCCCCTCTGCAAACAAGCTTTGGAAGATCTCGAAAAGACAAGTGGCCACGACCATCCCGATGTAGCCACAATGCTGAATATTCTGGCACTCGTATATCGTGATCAGGTACGTCTTTGCTTTGATTAACTTAATTCATACATTCGTTAATTAAAAACACTTCATGCCATTCAGAACAAGTATAAAGAGGCCGCCAATTTGCTGAACGACGCTCTGTCGATCCGAGGAAAGACACTGGGCGAGAATCACCCAGCCGTGGCGGCCACGTTGAACAATTTGGCCGTCCTCTACGGCAAACGGGGAAAATACAAAGATGCCGAGCCTCTTTGCAAGCGTGCCTTGGAGATTGAGAGAAGGTCCTGGGAAAGGATCACCCCGATGTTGCTAAGCAACTCAACAACCTCGCCTTGCTGTGCCAGAATCAGGGCAAATACGACGAGGTTGAAAAGTACTACCAGCGAGCTCTCGACATCTACGAATCCAAATGGGTCCCGATGATCCCAATGTGGCCAAGACAAAGAACAACCTTGCTGGCTGCTATTTGAAGCAAGGAAGATACACCGAGGCCGAAATCCTTTATAAGCAGGTCTTGACGCGAGCCCACGAACGTGAGTTCGGAGCGATTGACAGCAAAAACAAGCCTATTTGGCAGGTAAGTTTTTGATTTACTTTTTGTCCAGCAAATACTACAAAGACCGCCTGCAAACCTTGACTTTCAGGTGGCCGAGGAGCGTGAGGAGCACAAATTTGATAACAGGGAGAACACACCATACGGCGAATACGGCGGTTGGCATAAGGCTGCTAAAGTGGATTCACCCACGGTAACAACCACTCTAAAAAATCTGGGAGCACTCTACCGGCGTCAAGGCATGTTTGAAGCTGCCGAGACCCTGGAAGACTGTGCAATGAGAAGTAAAAAAGAAGCCTACGATCTAGCTAAACAAACAAAGGTCTCACAACTGCTAACTTCAAACGAAAAGCGACGATCAAAGGCAATTAAAGAGGATATGGATTTCTCCGAAGAGGTAATACCCCAGGTTTGATAGCTAACCGCAGATTATAAACTTTGCTCTTTATCGTTGCAGAAAAATGCGAAACCATGAAAATATTATTTGTTCATCGCCCACAACGGAATCTTTATGTTTATGATTGAAAGTTAACAACAAACACACACTTTATTTATTCATTCCTTAATATACATAAGCTCTCAAGCATACATTAGCAAATAAACAACGTTTTATACCTTGTTATTTCGTCAAAAAAATATGTACCGCTTTTAATAATAAACCAAATATATTTAACTAAACGGGTTTTTTGTGTGTGGTGGTCCATAATTAAAAGCTATAAATTGCGATGGAATTCAACTTAAAATTTATTAATGGTAACAAACAGTACAATAAGTTTGCTTACTCGCTATCATTGTCGTTTAAAATTGAGGATACAATTCCGGCAAACTGCTCAGCTCTGTCAAGAAATTGTTCTCGGGTAAGGCTAGTATCATTACGTAAACTTTGCGCAGTGAGAAGTAGGTTTTCAAAGTCTTTTAATTGACTATCCAACTCGTCAGAACTGATATCTTCTTTGTGTTCTGAAAATAAAATAGATCAGATCAATTATGGTTTATAAGAGAAGGTATTTGTGCTTACCAGAACCAAACTTGACATTGGACCAAACTACATTTTTTAAACCTTCTACAACTTCTTCGTAGTCCCTTTCCGTTTCATCTGAGTCTCCCTCAACATTACTTTTCAACGTAATGATGTCAAAAAGAAATTTGTTCGCTCTTTTATATCCCCGAAGGACAATCCACTTTCTTCTCCTGAAGTAGAAGACGTTAACAGAAATCCCAATTGGATCTGCTCATTTTTTGCTAACGTCTTGGGAATAGTTTCAATAAAGGAAGTCTGCAAGAATCTGATTATATAAAGCTCTATAAGTATTAACATTACTTACATCTTTGGAGTCAAAGTAAATGATTAACGCTTCAGTTGCCTGTAAGATTTTCTCCGGCACAGTTTCCAGTTTTCCAGAAAAAGGTACTAAATTGATTGAGGTGTTGTAGTACTTGGTTTTAATAATGCATTTATAACAACTCAGTGAACACTCCGTTGAAGTAGCTTCTTTGGGTTGGTCCACTTCGGAGAAAATATCTGAAAAAATAATGATATATTGGTGAGATATAAGGAATAAATAACAACTTCTTGGCTTTTCAGATAAATGACTTATTCCCCTTTCTGTGTAGGACTTTTATAGCCCAATAACGCTTTCTCAAAGTCCTTTAGTGTTTTTTGGTTCAAGATGGTTTAATTCAATTAGCAGCCTTCTGTGAACTTTGGTAAGTAGTTATTACTCACAAAATTGTAGAACTATTTTAATAAACAAATAAATAAAGCTGCAACAACGTGAGAATTCCCTGTCACCCAATGCAAAGCCTTTAAATAATTGTTAGTAACTAATCAAGTAATCTATTCATACTTTCGACTATTTCCATCGGAGGAGTAGCTCCGTAAGATAAAACCAAGACTACCGGATCCATTTTATTAAAATTTCTTTATTTGTTTCAGTCAACAAAAACAAAAAGCTATACTCGAGTGTGACCAAATCTTAAAAGTGCAAAGTTCCAATTTGGCCAAAAGAAAAAGCTTAGTACTACCGAATTTGTATCGTTATTTAGTTAAAAAGATTTATAAAAGATGGAATGTTTTTGTAAGCCCAATTTTTTTATTTTTTGAACAGTGCTTACCCAAATAAAACCGTTTATATTTTAAAATTGCAAACCTTTTTTTTATATGGCAACATATTCTTTATTTTGTATAAATTTTACTAACTTATTATTACTGAATATTTTTGTCATACTTTTTCAACAATTGTTGATAGGTTATATCACATTTTGGGCCTTCACCAATGTCATTCTCATAGACCTTCTTTGCCCTTTCAAAAGCCTCTATAATGCAGGATCTGAAAATAATTGAAATAAAAAAACTATAGATCTTTAATAAAACAAGGGACGGTTGTACCCACCTAAACAGTTTCTGGTGCAGGACGTAGGCGCTCACATGACCAGCATCCAAGTATCGTACCTCTGCTCCGGGCCATATATCCTCGAGGCTGGAACATCCTTCCCGCGGCACATAGGCATCATCCTTTGCGCATACCGCAATTATCAGAGAGGTGTCGAAGGGAACCGAGAAGTTCTTCAGATGGGTGCACTCGTCCATCATGCCACGCATAAACTGGAGCGCCTCCCGTTCCCACCAATTCGTCTTGGTTATATCTATTTTATCGGATTTGTTTTGCGCCGAAAGGGGGAGAATGAATTTCATGAGGTTTGTCAGCGCTGAGCCCGTCTCCTTAGAAGGTTCATCTGTTTCGATCGCGACCTTTTGACTGAGGGTGTCCTTAATATCTATTGTCAGGTTTTCAGAGTCAAGTTTTGTGTTCTTCAGAGACTTGGTTAGGAATATTGAACTGTCTTCTTGAGCGCATATGCCCTGTGTCTCATATTTGTCGCCACAGGTGTTGCTGTTCTCATGTTCCTGGATCTTCCTCGTATCACTTATGTCTTCTTTCAGTTCTTGCAGAGATTGGTTGAAGTTTTGGATGAAACTTTGTCCCGCTGAAAACGCATCGTCTATCACTGTGACCATTTTGGATAGCCGTTCCCTATACTGTCCGTCAGAGAAGTATTGCGTTTCCAACATATCCCAGTTGATGGATTGACTCATTACTCCCTAAGAAAGGATTTGATTTGAATTTGATTGGTTGATATTATTTTAACAACACTTACAGTGGTAAAAACAGCAGAGGCGGTGGACCAGGATAGGCATGGTACAAGTACCAACGGCTTTGGCCAGTTAGTTGCAGCGAGTGATGCCATCTTAAAAAAGAAATAGGTTTAGAAATCAAGTAATGTTTTTCATAAATATTAACTTACATGTCCGCCCATTGATAATCCAGTAACGCCTAGAGGACCGAATCCATTCCTTTCACACCAATGAAGGAGAACAAGGCACTCAAGGATGAGGCACCCACCCATCACGAAGATATCAGACACATTATGAAGGTTGGATCGTCTATATAAAATATTATTTACCAGAATTTAAGACGAATCTATTTATCAATTGGACTTACGTTTGGTTATTTGGTTTTCTTAGACCATAAAACGGGTTTTCAAGTATTATGGATCCAATGTTGGCGTCCTTCAGAAGGGGTTTCGCTATGAAATTTCTTCTCCTCCAAAAGAACTGAAAAAATTAAAAATGGTACTTTGTGGATTTAAAGAACAACTGGATTTTATATCTATTGTCATAAAAATAAGGTTGAAATGGTCCCAAAGGAAATTATTTTTATGCAGGAATTAAAAAGAGTTAAAAATAGAAAGATTATCCACCAATTAAATGACTCTTAATATCAGGGAAAACAAATAGAGAAATTAAAAGTTAAAAGAAATCTAAATTGTACAAGATAATACAAAGTGACACAACTGAAAAGTTTTTATTTTGAGGGACCCACTTTTGGCTAAATGCTGATAGGCCGATCGCCTGACATCTGGCCTCTATTGAAAGTAAACAGACATTATTCGATTTGAAGCACGGACCCATTGATGGTACTTACATGATCACCAGTTCCAGCCAAGTGAATGCATACCGGCTTGTGCTTTTCATTTTTCCACTTGTTCGGGATCAACAATTGGAAATGCGCCTGTTGGGATTCTTTTGGAACAACTCCAGGCAAATGTAACTCAAGGGGGGTTTTAAATTGGCCTTCTATTAGGGTGCTCTCCGCATAAATTTGTTTCTTTGTGATCTCCACCGGATAGTCTCGAGGAACGAGCTTGAAACATAATTCCCTATTCGATATTATTTTTCGGAACTGAAATACTCTGAAACAATTGTTGTAAAGCAAAGACAATTAATGAAGGTTTGGTTTATATATTAAAGGATGGGCTCTAATAATACCACTAATAAAAAAAAAACTATTTTGGTATTTTAATGAGCACTTTTTAGATAAAATAGGTGTATGCATGATTGAACTTCAGGAATCTTTTCTAATTACTGTTTCAATTTTTAATATACAATTTCCTTAAACCAAATTTTTTCTAAAGTATTGCTGCTTAAGGTAAGGAACGGAAATTTTAATTAATAAAAGCAACTGGGCAATTAATAAGCTGATGTATTTAATGAGAAGCGATAATTTTTAAAAACCTAGATAAATTAACATATACAATTTTGATAAAACGACCTTTTCTGTTGAAAGTTTATATCCCACTAACCTGTACGTGAGAATAAAAAATTGTTGTCATATCCAGTGTCCACTGGCTGAAGGGCACTGAAATGTAGATTAATAATGGCTTCGTAAAACAGAAAATAAGTAATCTACATCCCATACAAAATTCCATGTAATGAATTTAACTGAAAACTGTAACATTTATAAACCACACCTTTTTTGTAAACATAGTATGATTGACCATTTAAAGATACTTTTGAAATGATATAACAGAAAATGTTAACCTGAAGTTCAATAAATTAGCAAGTTGATAGGATTCATTTTAACTGTGTATTTAGTAACATATTCATTTTGGTATTAGTGATTTTACATCTAATCTTAACATCCGGTTTACAGTAATACTTGATTGGTTACAAATTTTATTCAAAAAATCGTAATTACCACGGCTTAATTCAACTATGGATTAATAAAGTAAATTTATAACAAATCAAGTTTTACAGAAATATGGATGTTTTAAAATGATATCACATATGTATAATCCGACGTCTAGTGATAACAAGCATGCACATTCTAGCCAACGTGTATTAGGGCCATAAAGATTGATTGCCGGCCTAAATTTAGTTGTCCAAGTTATCAATGCCATGTGAGATTAAGACCTGAGTTGATAAGTTAGAAAATCCATAAGTCCGCTGGAGAGGACTCCGATTAGCATTTGACTAAAGAACTTGTTAAAAACATAGGACACCGGTTGCAACAAATCTTTAACCTTTGTCCCAGCATAACTGAAACTAAATCAGATCTTTTATTTATTACACGCATGCCAAACTATTCTTTTTCTATAGTTTTGTACATCCAAATAAATAACCTAAACCGGGTACAAATTATAATAGTATTACGTAAAAATCTGAAGAGTACCAAATTCTTGTGATTCTCCTGTAAAACAAAACGCTCACCTGCGCAAGTTCTCCGGCTTTCCCCACCCCTTTTCGAAGAACCTCGTTATCAGCATTCGCCGGTAGAGACTATCTAGTTTACTAGGAGGCATTGCCGAATGCCGAATTTTTGTTTTCCTCGCCTAAATAATAATAAACCCGATGGAGATGGCCTTATCGCACTATCGATAATTGAGGAGAAACATCCATGGTGATAAGACTTGCAATTTTAAAATGTACACAATTTTTTCGGTTTCTTATTTTTTATAATGACTACCAATCTGAAAACTAATATAAAAATGTATATTTTTACAAATTGGTTTTGATTTTTATGTCAGGGTAGTGACACAATTTATCATTGATTTGGAATGGTGGAATGTGGAACAATTCAAATATGCTCTACCAATATTTATAAATCTAATTTTACTTGTTAAAATAACGTTACTAAATATGTAAGCTCAAATTGTATCTTTTTAATTGTGATATTTTTTTTCTTAATTGCAAGAACTTAGGAGTAAGGAGAAAAATAACTATTTTTAAATGCGTGACTTTCGACCAGGACTCGTTTCTTTTAATCCTGTTTTTAACTTCCGCACGAGATTCGGGATCCATTCTGAGGGCACTCTCATGGCTCGAAGAGCTCTTTGTACTTCCACAATAAAAACTTAGTACCAAAGGCTTATCAGAACCTCTGTATTCACTATAGCACAACATGAGCAGAGTTAGAGTTCCCATTGAATTCAAGAGCCATTCGATCTATTCAGGTTTTCTGGTGACATTCCTATAAATATTTGATGTCATCACGGCAGCAGCTACGATCCGGCACAACACGACATCTTTACTCGAAATGGACATCAGTGGCGGCGTGGGAGCCTGGTATAGACTCCCGTATCAATACGCCAGCCTCGGTCGACCTAAAGTCAGAAGCAGCTTAAAAACAAGGGTGAGGGAGATACAAAATATGATTTCATGTTTAGTCAAATCTAATGTGTTTTAAAACACTACCATTCCATCCCATAGCACAACGATAAAAAATGCCTTCCATTCCACTCAAGCTCATAAAAAGTACAATTCTTATTCTTAGTTTTTATTACATTGTATCTTATAAAATATGTTACTTATTTCCTTTGGTAGTTTTATCAATACGATACGTATACACTACATTTATATTTGTATGTATATTATGTTTCGGGCAAACCTAATTCGTTAAAAAAATTACATTTGCCCTTGTAAATACTTTATTAAAAGATTTTATAAATATACAAATAATTTATCATGGCACACTATGCATTGATGTTCCAACACGTGCATTATGTACTCGTATATATACAAAACTAACTTAATCCAATGTTGACTCGGCTATGTGATGTAAGTCTGAATAATTAATTATTGCGCGATGTAGGAACTCGTATTGTGCCTGAAAGGATATAGTTTGATTAATTTTTAATTGTACGAAGCATTTCTAAGGTTCAACTTACGTATGAGTTGATAAGTCCCGTTCGCTGAGATCGTAATTTCCTTGTTGTGGCACAGATGTCGACACACTTCTCCAATCTAAGATGCTGGACTAAAATGCACATTGCGACGAAAATTGAACTTCGGTCAGTTCCCAGGCTGAAAAATAGTGTGGATTAGTGATAAATGCAATAAAATAAAATCTTTTTAATTACCTGCAATGAACTGTGAGTGGAGAGCGACAACCAGAATTTTTGTTGTTCTTGTAATGGTTGTATGCTTGATCTACAAGTTCGATAATGCCCCGGCAGACTTCAGGAACTTCTCCGTCCACGGTTGGCCAACCATTGTATTGAAACTGTGTGACTTTCAGCGTATCATCTATTTTGCAATTTGTGACGTAAAATTCGCGGCGAGTGTAGTACGGACAACTTTCGCTGTGCACGTATTTTACAAGTATGTGGTCATATTGGACTTCATCATCCGCCCAGTATCGCGGGCACTTTCTGGCTCCGTCCCCGATCTGTATATTAATTTAAGCAATTAGTTTGGTTGGAAACCAAAAATAAGCTAAGACAATACTCACTTCAGAAATCATTACGAGGGTGGTAACACTCTGTTCCGAGATCATTCTCCAGAAATCGCCAATAGTGTTCTCAATTGGATCTTGGGCAATAATAAAGGTTTCGCTGTTATCATAGCCCTCTATAAAGGATGCGTTAATGTAGGTCGAGTTATCCCTCATTGGAAGTGGTGTCAGTATAACCTAGAATTTCATCAAAACAGGAACACATATTAAAGAGAATTTTCATGAAAGTAAGACATTATTACTCACTCTGTTACGATCGTAGGGTATAACCTCTTGACTTCTGTTTTTCATATTGTTCTCCTCGTTCTCGCCCACACAACACGATTTACTTATCTCATCCGCTGTGGCCAGCAGTTTCTGAAGTAAACGATAATAAGAAAATCGCCGGAAAGTAGATATCAAGTTGTACCAACCTCGAATTCCAGTTCCAATTTGCATTTACCCTCGTTGGGTTTGCGCTTCAGAGATTCAATAGCTGACGTCATAGTATCAATGCAAATATCCGTGTTTCCAAAAGTTCCAGTGTCCATAAAGCCCGGTAAAGAAGATGTATTGTTTCTGTAAGCGAAATACAAGGTTGAGGTTAAATAGTTCAGTGGTATGCTATATTTTACTAACCAAGGATTGGACTAAAAAATTTCGTTGGTGTCGCAAATCACACACTGTGTTGTAAATGGACACCGAGTCTTCTTCCTCCAGTTGTTGAATCAGAGAATCTAGAGCCACCAGCGTGCCGGTCCTACCGACACCAGCACTGCAGTGCACTAAAATTGGACCCCTTTGCAAGGAGTAGACGGAATTGATTTGTCGTATGAATTTGATGATGCCATGTGGATGCTCTGGTGCCATGAAGTCCTTCCACGTTAAATAATGGTATTGTGTGATTTGTCTACGGTCCTCCTCCTCGCCTACATTGGCTTTGTTCTTAGAAACGTTCAGGGTTCGTTCAATATAATCTCCAGTCTTTCGTTCTTGTGCAAATTTCACTAAAATATCTCCGAACTGTTTTGTATCAAATACTTTTCTGGCCAATATTCGCACACTTGGCCTTGTTATATCCTCCAAATTAGTAAGCATCACAATTATTTCTAGATGTTGTTCCCAAATCATTCGCCAAAAATCGTCGATGGTGCTCTCCATTGGACCCTGTGCGCAGATAAACTTCTTTCTCTCCTTGTATCCAATTACAAAGTTTGCGTTAATATAATCCGCTGTCTGTAGTCCATTTATGACAGCCAACTTAACGCGCGTTTGATCGTAGGCTTTAATGTCGGGATACCTATTTTTGCAGGCGTTCTCCTTCAAATCACTGTTTTTAGTTGTTCGATCGCTGAATCGATTGGGAAGCATCTCATATTCCCGGAGAAATCCGTAATCGGTGTCCTTATGGCGGTTTTTATAGGCGTTTTCCAAATCTAATCTGTGAATGGGGCCAGCATCGAATCCTTTGTGATTCCCGGACGTAATAAAATGGCTGTGGTTGTTAGTGCGGCGACCGAACAAAGCCCTGCTTGATAGTAAAATAGGTAATTATTAATTATAAGTTAATTAAAATATTTATCATTAAGTAGTTACCTCAATGAATCTCTTAAAGTTAATGTGTCTTCGCCCTGCAATTCGTTTTTGGTTTTCTTGTGATGGAAAACCCACAGCACGATAAACACGAGAAAAACACCAAGTAGTACGGCTCCTGCTTTGATTCCAATATTTAGGTAGTAGTCCATATTATTTAGGATTGAATGGGTTCCGCTTCTGTTGCTGGAGTAATTACATCAAAGTATTTGCTATATGCCATCAGCACATTATTTCGATCCCGAACTAGAGAAATGAAAAATATAAATTATTTTTATTACAAATGTTTTATTACCACTTACCTATAATCTCTAGGAAACCAGTGTAATTGGAGTTAATATCTATCTCACCGTCGAAAACATCTCGACTAGTGTCAAGGAGTGGCACATTTGGGTTGACGGAGCTTAGAATTGGATTCTCATCGCTAGTCACCGCGTTTCTTTTATCTCTCAACTTACTTTCTAAGATTTTAAGAGCATGATCTGTTAGATTAGCTCCTTGGATCAAGTTGTCTTTTTCGGGGGAATGTGGCAGCTCAGAATCAAAATCTGCAGGAATATCGAACATTGGTATACGGTTTAGAAATCAAGTTGAAGTTACTTACTTGATAGAGAACTCAATGGAGGTGGGGGCGTGGCTTCCGGCTTTCTCAGGAATGGAGTACCCTCCAAGCACTTGCGGCAAATTTCGTCATTGTCCCTGATAATATCATTGTTTTCGCTAAATCTCTGCTCATCGCCCAAAAATATTTCGGGCCTAAAGTACTTTCTACTGATCATTTCCGCTATATATGCACTACTTCTAGTGACGTTATCGCTGTGAACCTCCTGATATGTGGCGATATTAAGCTTATCCGGCTCCGGCAGTTCCTTGTTGTCGTTGTTAATCCTAACTAGATTTAATCTATAACAGCATATGGGACCGTTTCGTTCGCTGATCTTGGGTAGGTATAATTTGAGAACGTGTTTGGAGCCCAGATTAACTTTTGTCCACAGTGTTCGACCAATGGTGTCCGGCGTGGATACGGGCATCAGACAACTTCCTGCGGCCGGTTCGCCGTTCTTCTTGTGGCGTGTTATGGCGGACACCGTCACTGTGTAGTTTGTATTCGGGCTAACACTTTCGTATAGGGTCTTGTGATGGGGCTCGTCGATTCTTCGAATCTTGGGTCCCCACGTCTCCCTATCCACAGTGCTCATGGGATTGCCCAGCAAGTGAATAAAATACGACACAACTTTGCCATTTGGCGTTTTGGGAACATCCCAGTTAATGGAGATTGAGTTGCCCCTCGTTAAGTTGTCGTGATGGCAATTGATCGTCAAATTGGTGGGCTTCGAAGCCACGCCGTCCATAGTTGTGCCATTTACGTTCTCGGACCATGGTCCACAGGTCTTGGTTAGATCACTGCATGCCCTTACCCTAAATTCGTAGTCTGTGGCGGTCTTAAGCTTATCAAACATATATGGCAAGTTTCGAGAATTCTGCTGGTAAATGGCCTCTTCAATCACTTTGGGCACCTCTCCCGATTCGGAGACAATCAGCTCGTAATACTGTATATAATCAATGAGGTCCGGCGGCGGGGGATTCCAGCCAATCGTTATTGTGGACGCTGTGCTGCCGGTGGTCTCGACTTTCGGTATAAATATGGGATCAAAACTGAGCGTGGTGATTCCTTGGGGATACTGGGTGGGCTGGCCATCGCCAATCGAGTTCTTTCCCGCAATTCGTAAAAAATAGGTTGTGTTTGCTTTAAAATGGTCCAAAATATACGATGAATAGCTGCCGTTTATAAAGTCCTTATGGTAAGTAATAGTCGGTGTTCCGGCCTCCTGAAGGCTGACGAAGAATTTTTGAACCGGATCGTTGCCATCGTTCACCGTCCAGTTTAAGTATATCTTGTTGGCCCCCACAGCCTTGGCAAAATCAATGCTAACTTGTGGCACTTCCATTACGAAAAGGCTTATCCCTTTGGAGGTAATTTCCAGACCCGTTTCGTCGAAGACGGTGCACTTGTAGGTTCCATTCTCCTTCTTGTAAACCTCGGTAAATTCCAAGGTAAAATTAAGGTGTGTATCATTCAGCTTTGAGATGGACGAAAAGGTGTCCAGGAACTCAAAGTGGCTTCCGTCTTTAAGCCATTTCAGGCTTTTACTCGTCGTCTCATTTTGCGGGAACATCTCGATCAGACAGTGGAGCACAACATCCTGTTTGATTTTTCTTTTTATCTTGTCGGCGGTACTTTGCACGACCTTGGAGGGAAGGTATGGCCTAACTTGGAATTCAGTCGAAAGATTTTGGCCTGTTTGGGTTGTGCAGGTGAAGTTTCCCGAGTCTTAATATTAACGTCGAGAAGCGTCAGGACATTTTTATACTTGATAAAGTCTTGGCTTTCATTGTTTTCACTAACGTCGTCGTTGGATTTCAAGGGTTCAGTTCTGATTTTAAACCTGAAAAATAACAAATTGATAACCATAAAAATAAGCTCAACCATTATAGAACAAAATATAAGATATTACCTCGTATTGTTTTTGGTAATCGTTTGATTTCCCAATCTCCAAATTACTCCTTCGTTTTCAGAGCACACTCTAAAGATAAGTTTTTTCCTATCTCTGCCCATTCTGCAATAAATAAAAAGTTATTATTTCATTTCAAATAAATATAGAATTGGTGTTTCATTGGTGAACTTTTTATTCAAGTATTCAGCCCAAAACTATGTTATTTACCAAAAAAATTAGAAAAGAAAATCGAATAATTAAGTAGATTTTCATTAACTTATCTTAAATATACATAGTCTGTTTATGACTTTATTTACTTGGGATCAAATACAACACATAGTACTTAGCTCACAATAGCATAATCTGAAATAATTTGTAGTTTAAAGCATTTCACTATTAAAACTAAGTTTTGTTTTTTTTAATTTTGAATATTTTTTAAATATGAAAAATTAGCATCCAATACATAATTTATTGGTTCTTTGATCAGTTAAAACCTTATAATGGGTCCCAAAAGGGGGGTTGGGTGGTCAACGATGGGCGGCAAAAGCCAGACATAAAAGTAAAACTCCACCCTTTACATGGCGCACAAAATTGGCGATGTAATCCAGTGTAATTCCGGAATCAACACGTATTTCCTTGCACAAATATTACAAATAAACATATTTCAGATAAACCGTACGGATGTACATATGTACGCACAGACATAGGCCCGTATGTATGTATGGGCACCGGGAAGAGTGTACATACATACGTATGGTCGACTACTTTTGTTTAGCCCCAATTGAAATCTCACCCCATCGCCGTAATCTTTGGGCGTTACCGACATAGTTCGAGTACCGCTGTATCTGGATCTCGTTAACCATTTAGATTTACAGCCCTTTAATTGATAAATCTAGTTATAAGCTGCCGAAATAGATTCACATCACATTTGCAAAAACAAAAAAGAGACACTGCAATTTGTTGACACCCACCAACCATTCTTGTATGTACGTATGTAAGCTGCATTTATGCTATACGGCCTGCGGACCATACTAAACCAAGGAACTCCCTTGCGAAACATTACCTTGTTTCAACGTTCCCTGCACACATATCGCACAAAGGAAGATATATGCAAGGACTATATTCAATAGCATCGACATGCGTCGGCGGAGTAACGCCATGGCTAGCTTATTTCTCACTCCGAACCGGATAAATACATATGTCAAAAATTATATTCGATGTCTGTGTTCCGTAAAAAAGGTCCTCTATGTTGTGTTAATGACGCGGCGAATAGGAAAACCCGGAAAAGGAGTTTTTAAAAAAACCATTTAATAGACGGCAACCGCGAAGAAGTATTCATTAATCGTTATTTTTTTCATTAATTTGTTGTTTCCAGTGTGACCGCGGTATAAGTGGTCCATTATACCGCCCGGCTTTAAGGAATATACTTTTTATACCATTATGGTTTGTGAATATACCAAATATACCAAAAAATAATACCCTGAGTTTCCTTCCTTTATTTTCTATATAAATAAACTCAAAAGCCATAAGTAATATTTAATTTAAAGATTCCTTGCATTAGTGTCGAAAATAACATATTTAACTGGGGTTAAAGTCTAAATTAATTACATTGTGGTTCATGTCTTGGAACATGGTGACTCTTAAGTTCGCGCTTCCTCTTTAAACACCACCCACTGTAAAGATAATTTCTCAAAGACCAACGGATTTATCATCATATTTTAACAAAACTTACTGTAGGTAATCCCCAATCTGTTAATATACCGTGTATGTTGGTAAAACGTTTAGGTATGGAACCCTATGCATTTTTATGTTGGCCCCAATTGTTGTATAAGAAAAATCCGAGGTTGATTCACTGCTAAGCGATTTTCTTAAAAAGTATTAATTTTTAAGGCAAGTAGCTTGAATTATCTTTTATATTGTTACGACGTTCATAAGGGGAGCCGTACAAAATATGGAGATCTGATTTTTCTGAAAAAAAGAGAAAATGTAATGATAAAAATAGCCCCCTTGTTATAAGTTTTAAACGTTCCACTTTGGTTGCTTTTTCATCGATGCTAATTTAATAACATATAATATAACCAAAAACTTTTTCGTTTCTACAAAAACTAGAGTTTTAAATAATTATATTAGGTTAGGTTAACCCGGACGGCACTCACTGTCCTGTTGATGTGTATGAACCTTAAGATTAGTTAAGAGGTTTTTATGTCCACAAGGATATGGGTGTTTTTGTCGAAGGCAAGAAGTTCGCATGGTTTCCTGCTGGAGGCGTCTTCTAGTTATGCCAGTACTGGGGCACCGAGGTATCTTCTTCTTGCTCGTGAGAGAGCCGGGCAATTGCAGATAAGATGTTCCAGGGTTTCGATTGCCCCCGAGTTGGTCATCCTTCGAGCCGAATTACACCAAGCTGCTCAGTTCGTCTGGTGGCACCGGTCTGTCGTGTGCCATGTAGCAGGAGGCTACCAAGAGGCGCTGCTCCTCGCTTTCTAGCATCACAATAGTCAAGTCATCAGAGCTGTAATGAGGCACGAGGCTAGCATGGATACCCTTCCGCACAAGTACGGCGGTTCTGTTCCTGCTTACCATTGGTAAGTAGAATGTATTGTAGTTGGAGGACCTTAGTCCGGCCACTATATTGCCCAAGGCAATCCATGGCTCTTGAACAAAGGCTATGTCGACGTGCAATCAGGAGCTCCGCCGACGCGAGTCTGCTTTTATGGAGATTGAGCTGCAGCACCCTCAGTGTCATAGGTGGCTGGCTCATCTCCGCTCGACGGATTGGCTATAACAGTCAGGTCACCGTCCTCTTCGTCCTCCGAGTCGTCTACCGCAATGTCCTGGGCGGCATCCACGACGGCTTCCAGACCTAGGTCCTTCTCCACCTCGCCTGCCTGCAGGATGTGTGCGCCTTTGTCGTCGGGTGGCGCTTCCTAAGACGGAGGTAGACACTACCCATGCCCCACGCCATCTTCCCGAATCTTGGGTACAGCAGATCCTCCGCCTCCTTGTTGATTTGGAGAACCACACTTTGGCCCCCCTCGTTGGGTAGTGGGCTGGCCATGTGCAGAATCTTCCAATTCTCCGTTGGGACGTCTGGGTTCTGCCGTTGAAGCAGCTTTAGCGCCCGATACCCTTGAATTGCGATAGGGAAGATCACTTTCGCCTTCGGTATGGATGGGATTAATTCCCTGTCCACCACCTCTAGCTTGGCCCCCTCCCACAACGCCTCCAGCTGGCAGACCGTTTGCGTCAGCCACTTCCTGGTCGGATCGTCGTTGCACTTCAGGATTTTGACACCGTTCAACCACCCTGCACCATCGAATGTGGGCATGGGGGCTGTGGGTGCCTCTTCTATCCGTACAAAGAGAGACTGAACGAGTCGCGCATGGACGATCTTCCAGCGCGCCTCCGTCATCTTTCCATACTCGTCGCTCCTGTCAATGAGTGCCACGATCAGGTGTCGGTTGCCTTCATCACTGACTTTGGCATTCCTGTTGGTCTTCCTTGCTACTTTGGGTGACGGAGGGCCTGCCTCCATGGGCCCGCGTTTCCGCTTGCTCATTGGAATGTCCTTGGCGGCACTCTCGTGTGAGCGTTGCCTCTTGTTGGCAAGCATCTCCTCCACCTTGTTCGCAAATCCGCCCGTCGACGCCATCGACGGTTTGCTTGCGAAGTGCAGCCTTCCTTCCTCAATCCTTTGTTCTGCCCAGGTTAGCCTTTCCTTCTCCTCCTGGGAGAGGGCCGCTTTGTCTTGGAACCGGCTCTTGATCTTGAGGGCTGCCTTGTATTGCGCCTTAGCCTTCATGCCCTCGCTTGAACGCTTCGGGCCTTCCCTACGCGAGGAGTTGGAACCTGGTTCAGGAAAGCGCGTATGTTTTGTTTCGGCTTCGTGTAGCACGCTCTTCGAGCCCGAGTCTACTTCAACAACGGCACCCGTGCGGCTTAACTTTGCTTGAGACGTCATGGCAGTAGCTTTACCAGTGAGATGACCTGCTCCCGGCATCCCAGGGGTTCGACCGCTGGCGACACGCAGAGAGGATTGCTCCTCCCCGTGCCAGCCGATGGTAGCAGTTGTACTCCCATAGACGTTTGGGCTGACATCGCAGCCCTGATTTTATCTTTCTCGCCGTCCATACTGGTTGGTTTTTCCGGGGAACCACCCACTTGCGTTTATGCCTAAATTTAAATAATTTAAGTATTGAATTTGATTTTTGTTCCCGTTCCGTTCCGTATGCTATATATTTTTCTTCATTCGTCAGCGGTGCTACCTTAGCACTCGATATATTGTGGAAATATATGCATAAAAGTATCGTAGCAATGAAATATCATTTATTAAAAATAGCATATAGTTGAAATATATCGAGTAATTTTTGAAATTTTCTTAAAGACTTCAATTACTAACAATACTACCATGGAGTGTCCTTTTCTTTCTCACTCTACAAATTATAAAAAATCAAATATTTATGTTTTAATAAAATAGCGATACTCGATATATCAGGTGTTAAAAATATCACGATATAAATATTTATTTTTATTCAAAATATATCGATATTTTGATATATTCATCCCTACTAAAATCCCAAGTAACTAGCCGGCATTGTTTGTGCGCGTTTTTTTGCAGAAAATCATTGGAAAACAAATAAAAACATGAAATTAGTGAGGTATGCTATGTGTTAATTACTTAATGCATCGACGATTCTGTTAGAAACCGTGTGTTTGTGAGTTTCATTCAGTTTTTGATATGTTCAAATATGCACACATGTACGCATGTAGAAGCGATGCTGCCATTTGTTGTATTTGTACACAATATTTACAGTAGCCATGAATTTGATATTAAAATAATATTAATCTACTATTGTGATGTTCATTTTTCGTTATTTTGTATTGTGAGAAGTATACGAACTTTACGAGGAAGATTTGTAAAGAATTTAGTAAATTTTTCCACAGTACTCCTGTTTCTAACCGCACAATAAGATACATTAACTCTTTATTAAACAGTGCATCGGTTATAGGATTCAGCTCTGAGTTATTTAATGTTAGCTATAAGAACAGAGCTCCTTTTCACAAAAAGATCTTTATCTTAGTTTTAGGATCATTGGCATTTCATAAACATTATTTTAATATATTGCTTTTGTATCCTGTAGATTCCTGATGAAACTAAGTCATGAGACTGTGACCATCGAACTGAAGAACGGCACCCAGATCCACGGCACCATCACCGGCGTGGATGTGGCCATGAACACTCACCTAAAGAGCGTGCGCATGACGATCAAGAACCGGGACCCCGTCCACCTGGAGACCCTGAGCATTCGCGGCAACAACATCAGATACTTCATACTGCCGGACAGCCTGCCGCTGGAGACGCTCCTCATAGACGACACCCCGAAGTCGAAGACAAAAAAGAAGGACAGCGGCCGGGTCGGAAATCGCGGCAGGGGCAGAGGCGCCCGCGGAAGGGGTGGACCGAGGGGTCGCGGAAGGGGCCGAGCTTCGGGCCGACGTTAATCTTTGTAACCGCTACACCTAATAAACAATATTCGATAAATATAGAATATAAATATTCTTTGGATAAATCTATCTTGTATACATTTATGATCGAACAATTGACAATTGTCTACTTCATCTAGTAAAGGAACTATACCTGAATACAAATTGTTAAGAAATCATTATTTGTAGTAACTCATGAGAAATGTGTTTTTACCATATGTAGATTCCTTCAGAAAATATACATAAATGAAAATTGCCTTCTAAGTTGTATTGAAAGAGCGATTAGAAAATGATTTAAAGTTTTTTAACACCGATGTTGTACTTTAGTTAATTTAAGAAACATTCCAAAAATAATCATATGCGTATACAATGGCTGTAAAATTGGTCACTTTATTGGTCAAGAACTTTAGGACCTACACTAGGCTTGAGATGTTGATTTATTTACTGCTTCCCTTGCTAATGCTACATTTAGTTTGGATACGATGTGGTCAAAATCATGAAAACCCCGTCCATTGCTTTGCACGGCGAGATGGAGTACTTGGGGATAATGCTAGACTTACTCCACTTTAGTAAGTTCGAACCAGGAATCAATTTTCGATTTTTAAACAATTAAACTAATATTAATCTTCTTAATTTAAGCAATTCAATGGAGAGAATGTCCAAAGAAAGTCCTTTAAAGGAACTTTTAGTGCATACAAACGACAAATCTGTGTCAGACAAACTAATAGCTGCGTTGAAAAATATTTTAAAGCTCAAGAAAATTATTCAGATAAAGTCCGAGGGAAATATGGAAAAACATCTTCGAAAAGGAAATTATTTGGCTGGTATTATCTGGAAGGTTGAAGGTGACAGCACTGTTGTTACAATTAGATTTCCAGTCCGTTAAGAACTAACCCAAACGATCTGTGGAACACGGATAAATCGGAATCAAGAGAAAATGTGCCGACCTCTGTTTACAGAGATGAAGGATTCCTACAAATACTATATGCTATTACTGCATTTCTGAGTCAATCTGATTTAAGCAAGCCAACCCAGAAATACGAGGATAATGGAATAACAATCTCGTCAAACCATATATTTTGGATAACAAATATAATAGTGAAATTAATGAAAAACTCCTAGACCCAATTAAATCAATTCGCAAAAACATTTTGTCATTTTATTTGGGTATATTTACATATATCCCTTTATTCGTTTAGTTATGGTAAGCATAATCATTAAATATGATTTAATTTGCAAAAGTCCTAATTTTAATTAATATTCCAGCATATGGTGAGAGAAAAAAGCAAACAAAAAGTGGATTTAATGAACATTTCTGGTTCAAACCGTTTTCTTCACTACCTATCTTGGTTCTTTTCCACTTTTATTCTACTTACTATGATTAATGTTCTAACAATATTTTTATTAACGGTAAGCAAACAATGTAAATCCAAAAACAGTATTTAGTTGTAAGCATTTTAAACTAAGTGGTTATAGAGAGTTTTCAAAAGAAAGGATTTTTTATAGATTACTTAAAGATTTCTAAATCACACTCCCAAAACTTATATTCGATCGGACCAATATTTTGGGAGATATTGGAGTAGAAATTAATGTTTTTAGCCCGTTTCGGTTGCCACAATAGCTCAGACGAATTTTTTTTCAAATTTTTACACATACTCATCATCTTAGCCTCTATTGATTGAAGGAATTATATTAAGCAAAGGATAGTACATTCTTTTATACCCAATTAGTGGAAAATTAGTTTGTAATTAGGTTTCGTCAAAAATTCAAACTACATTTTTTCCAATACCTCCCACACTAACGGAAAAATTTTATAGAGATGATGTCGAATGATGGGTGTTTTCTGACGAGCCCCAGCAAAAATGGCCTTAGCGGTAGAGTTTTTAATATTTTTGAATAACTTTTTTTAACATACTAATCAACATGTACCAAAATTTCCAAATAATGTAAGTCTGAGGTATTTGTTTATAAAAAATCATAAAAGCCATTAAAGACATTTAAATTCCGATTCCTGGTAAACTGGTTCCGATAATTAATCGAAATGCAAGAATACGAAACATTTACGATTTTCTATCGGGGTCTGGGTTTGTGCATTCGCTAAAGGTTTGGCGCCAACCGCTTATCAATTTCAACTTTTAAAACCAAAGCAATTATGTATTTGAATTGAACTTTTTATTTTATATTCCTTTTTTTAGGCGCCGCTCTGTGAAAATGGAAACGTCTTAAATTGCTCAAGTTTTACAGCTTTGTTGTTTTTCTTTGAAGTCTGGGCAGTGTCTGGCATTTGTTTTTGTTTTTTAGTATATAGTTTAACTCAGACTGTCACTTTGGCAGCGATTGTGGTGGCTTTTTTTTGCATTCTTAGTTTCTTTCTCTATGTATTCTTGCAGCCAAAATTATTAATCTTGCTCTACATGCTCTGCATACTATTTCATTATGCATTTCTAATGGGACTGAGTTTAATTCTTTCTTCGAATGGTTTGATAATACCGGCTTGCAGTGGTATCATATTTCTAAAACAGAAAAAATCTTTAATTCTACTACAAATAGTGAAAACTTTACTTGTAATTTCGTTGATATTATATTAATAATGCTAATAGTTGCATTTATGTCTTTGCTACTTTGCCTACTCATTGAGTTGTGTTTTCCGGGACGGTATGGAATTTCAAAATGTAGAAGATCGAAACCTGATAACCGTACGAATCAGCATGAAACTCCAGCAGTTGTTCAAGCCAATATGTTGCGAAAATTGCAAAGAAGAAAGGCTCCCCTAAGAAATTTTACCATGAATATGTACGATGATCAAATAACCGTTATATTGGGTCTTTCCGATTCGGGAAAGTCGGCAGTAATTAATTCAATCACGGGTAGTAGTCCTCCAGAATCAGGGTGGATTAAAGTGGACAATAAAAATATTATCAAAACCAATAGTTCCAGAACATTTTTGGGACTATCTCCTCAGCACAATGCTTTATACGATTCCTTGACGGTAAAACAGCACGTGGACTTTTACTCATCTCTGCGGAATTCTCCCCGAAAATATAGAAGTATTTCCATGAACAACTATTTAAAAGCATTAGATCTCTTGATCGTAAGGAATGTGAAGAGTCGAAATTTATCACAAGCGGACAAAAAGAAACTATCGGTGGCATGTGCCTTTTGTGGGAATCCACGGATCCTTGTTTTGGACGAACCCACCGAAGGATTGGAACCCTGTGATCGAAGATTACTGTGGGACTTACTGCAGTCTGAGAAACGATGTCGCACTATAATAGTAGCCACTTACCAAATCGAGGAAGCGGATTTTCTGGCGGATCGAGTGGCTATATTATGCGATGGGCAATTAATATTCAATGGAACCTCCGTCTTCTTGAAGAACTCTTATGGGTCCGGCTATCAGTTGGTAAGGCGATTTAAATATACACTTTCAAACTAGAAAATCATTCATTGTTTATACATATAGTAAATTAGTTAAGATAATTATAATATTCTGAAGCTCTGGTGTTATTTAGGTATGCTCGCAGGGTGAAATATGTCCAGAGCCACAGATAACCTCGTTGGTTACGAAATATATACCCGATTCCAGTGCATCTGTGACAAGCCTTGCGAAATAGCCTACAATATTCCGCAATCCAGTTGCTGTGGAATTGTGCCCCTGCTAAAGGAGTTGGAACTATCCGAAAAGTGTGGCGATATGGAATCCATTCAAATCGGAACCACTCCGGTGGTAGATAAATTTGTAAATGCCACTTCGGCTGGCTGCAACTTAAACAAGTGCAGTAACTTTTGCAACCTACCAGAACCGGATGAATGTCTGCTAAAGGGACAAAAATTGTGCAGGAATCAATGGAAAGCGATGATATTAAAAAAGTTCTACCACATCAAACACAACCCTTGTTGTTCCTTGGACTTCCCTTGCTTTTGCTTTTGACCTTTGCGGCGTTACTTGCTTATTTTTATAAATCTCCTGATTTACCCAAACATCATTATGCAGATAATAGAAATATGGCACCGGGAGCGCTCGAAAATTGGATTTAGATTCTTATGGAGAAGACTGCAGTTATGCATTTGTGGAAAGTGAAAGTAATCAGCATCCACTAGTACCGCTTTTGAAAAAAAAATACAAGGCTGTTCAGCTGATGAAGTATCACAAAATGATCTAGATAAAAATCAGGACTGTTAAATGATAAATATGTCTTTGCACTGAAAATGATAAGTGCGAATATAAAATATTTTATAGTCGGAAGTACCTGCATTCTGAGGCCGTGGCTGCAGCACTGATGGGATATTTGGCAAACGGGTAAAAATTATATATCAAAACTATTTCTTATCTATAAAGATTTATTTTTCAGTGACCTATTGGATAGATTTTGCTCGAGTTATGATAGGGAAGCTAAATTGTCGGAGAAAACCATTGATTTTTATAATCATCCCTATCGCTCAACTCAGGATAGTGAAAACTCTACCCATACGAAATCAAATGTTCCAAAGGGGTGCATTATACTTACTACTTTTATGCCTGAGTATCTTTACTGGGTTTTTTGCTGCATACATTATAAGGGAACGATCATTGGATTTAAACTTATGCAACAAGTTGAGGGCATAAATATGGCAACATTTTGGCTTTCCCATATACTTTGGGACTGGATGTGGCTTTCACTGTTTTCAACATTACTAGTGGTTTTATTGACCATAATTCTACGTAAAAGTTTAATAATGAAATGGGTAAACGTATTTAACTATTTTTACCAAATTTATGTTATTTATTTTATTTCAGTTGCCTATATAATTGCATTGATGTTTTTTAATCTGGCCCAATTGCCTTTTTGTATCTTTTATTGCATCTTTTAATCGCGAAATTTATGGCTGGATAATACCAATACTTTTACTGCTACTCTTGGGTAAGTTCTTAGTATTGGGTGATTAATCGTAATATATATTTATTTTTAGCCATCCCGTTTGAGCTTGGAGCTCCGGATATACCATTTGGAGTTCTCTATTTATTACCCACTTATTCAGCGGTTGCACTGCTTCATAGAACTTGCATTCAGGAAGAAATTCGTAAAGTTTGTGATGGAAGCAACTCAAATTTGTATGATGAGTGCAGTAAGTTATGAAATCAAGATAATCTAATTAAATCCAATTTCTGGAATGCATTCACCCTTAAAAGGGTTGAAAGCATTTTCTTGTACATTTACACCCTTCACAAATAAGGGGTATAAAAATAAAGGGAAATTGTTTCAGGCCAAGTTTTTTGTCTATCAGTAACTAAGTTAACTTAACATCGTTTGGATGTCAGAGTAAATAAACATGTATTAAATGCATATCTGTATTAACACATTGTAATTTTTAGTAATAACAAAAATATTCGTTATTTATTTCCTTTTACAGAACAACATTCACACTGGACTGGATTACTATATGTTTGATACTTACTTTTTTAGCCATACTTTACTTTATTTGCTCATGCTGTACGAAAAAGGATTTCCTTGTAAACAGCGGAGGTATTTGGAAATAATAATTTGTAACTCATTTATAATCTTTTTATTTAGAACTGCTGGTGAGGAATGCCCAGGAAATTGTGATTTAAACAGTATGACAAGAAACGAAATGCGAAACCACACCCTACTTCTGGAAAATGTAAGGTCAAACCAGTCTAGAAGATCGATAAAAGATATATCCTTTGGTCTAAGGCCGTGAGTTTTGTCAGAACTTAAGATATTAAAATGAACTTAATATACATTTCTTAGTATGGATGTTCTAGGGTTGGTTGGCGAAAGATCTGGCAAGACGAATATTAATAAAATGATTATATCAGAACGCGATTTGTCAAGTGGTCGTATTTCAGTAAAAGGAATCGATGTTCAAGACAAAAAGGAGAATAGATATCACGCATTCAAATACATAGGCTACTGTCCCGAAAAAATTGCTTTGAGCCAAAGTTTACGGGAAGAGAAAACTTAAAAGTATTTTGCCTGATTCGAGGTATAAGATCGGAAAAGGTCCGCGATGTATCCGAAGAACTGGCAGAAAATCTTAACTTCAAGGAACATCTAGATAAGAAGTCGGAAATGTACACGTTAGTGATAAACGAAAACTGAGTACAGCTATAGCTGTGATTGGTACACCTCCCCTAATAATTCTGGATGAACCCACCGCTGGAGTAGAGAAAGCACATCGATCCGATGTTTTGGACGTCCTGAAGAGCGTGAATGATTGTGGCAGTTCGATTTTGCTGTCCTCGAACAATATTGAAGATTTCCAGTCCCTATGCAATCGATTAGCTTTGATAAAGCGTGGAAAACTCGTTGCAATCGGACCAGTCGAGAGCTATAGAAACCAATCAACTCGTGGTTTGATTTTAATGGTCAAGGCTAGACCTCATGCATTGGTTCAAGAACTGGGGTATTTACATTTTTATTTAAAAAAGTTAATATAATATCTTTTTTATAGGTATGGACGAGCAGAAATAAGTAACCAGCTGTAATAAACATTATTGCACAATTTTTGATTGCCAATTTTGGAAATGTTTACTTACTGTAAGTAAATAATGTTGGGTTGGAAACATTTTTAAATTGCTATTTTTCAGGGAAGAAATACAAGGCGATATGTTGTTTTACATTCACAATACCACAGTTCCCCTGGCCATGGCCTTTCAAATAATAGAGAGAAACAGACATGACCTTTACATATCTGATTTCTATTTGAAACATGAAAACATGGAGCTATCTTTTGTGACTCAAAACTTTAGAATACTTCGGTGAAGATGTTAAGTGTTTTCTTTGTGAAAATAAAATCACAGTCTCAAATTAGTCCGCTGTAAGTTTTATCGTAAAAAATTAATGGATATTCCGCAAGACTCGGAGTCACATTTAACTATGGGGCAGTTAAATAATGATGCTTCGGCAAGAAACAAAGCCGAATCGTAATTTAGTGTCTGTATTTCGCCATGTGAAAGTTTGTATCGCCTCCTTGTCTTTTTTACTGCTAAACCCGAGGTCCTTAGACTAAATGAGGCAGGGCAAACAGGTTCAGCGCAAATCCATTGATGAGCAAAACATGTTTCTCCAGAAGGAACCATCAATATCAATCGAAAATGCATGCCGCGGCCTGATCAAAATAAATTATAAAACAAAAAGGGCCGCGGTCCGCATAAGGTTTGCCATAAAATGAATCGCAAAATTAACAAGATAAGCATCTTCTTAAGATAGGAGAAATAAAATCCACTGGGTACAACCAAATTAATTTTGACATAATGTCAGACAAACAAATGTTTGCACTTAAGGAAACAGTGCCTTTGTTAAGTATCCTTCTCATGCAGTCCAATGTGAAGTGGAATGCGTTATAATATTTGTCTAGACATAAATACAAACATAGAGTTCCAATATGCAAGCTGTAAAAATACGAAACTGTGATATAAACCTTTATTTACTTAGAATAATATTCGAACCTTATAAGTGAAAATACTAAAGAGATTATAAAAGATATTATATTAACATAAGTTGAATCGATTTTTTAGGGATTATAAAGCTGCAATATCATATATACCATTACACTGAAAAAAAATCTTATTTTGTATCGAGCACAAGCAATAATAGATGAAATATATCATTATATATCTTCATATGGATACAAAGTAGAAAGGTTATTTATTTGAAAGAATTTTCGGATTTCTTTTAGCACACCTTACAAGTGAAAGTATATGGAAATTATAAAAGATATTTACATAAGTACAAACATAATAAACAATAAAAAAACCTCCTCATTTTTAACAAGCTGAAACAATAAGCAGAATAAATACATCTTGTTATGGATAGTAACAGATACAGTAACATAAAATATGATGCAATTCAATCCAGATTAAAGAAAGGTTTTATTTAGTATAATAATCTAATATCTTTGGAATACTACAAGTAGAGATTATAAAAGATTATTTTACCCAATAAATTATCTTTTTTAGGGATTATAAAGTGTAATATCTTAGGATTCATTTTACAGTGAAAGATCGCCTAATTTTAACGAGCTGAAACATTGAATAGAATAAATAGTGTTAGATCAGTAACATAAAATATGATGCAATTCAAATCCAGATTAGAGAAAGGTTCCCACTGTACGATGCTCCCTGTTTGAAAAGTGCCTCCCTGTGCTGACGGTGTTATTTTAAGTTGGTGTCATAACTCAATCGCAGGATAATTCGCAGCAGGGTATGCCCAAAGCGCATAGAATCGCAAGGCAAACGCACCCACTGATTCGATATAAGTCTGAACCAAACCGAACCGAGAACTGAGGAGAATCGAAACCGGCTTTATTAAGGTAAACAAGGACCCACGCTCGCTGTTTATGTTTGTCTTTGCATCACTGTCAGTGCAGTGAGTACTGACTTTGACACGTTTTCCGACTTAATTTTAGTTTATTGCTTTTTATGTGAGCGTTGTGGGATTGCTATTGCTGGATCGTTGGACTGTGTGCACTGCGTATCTGGGAGGACGACGACGTCGAGCGACCCAGTGACACGTGTTGCGGATGAGGACCAGACCATCCGCCGAAATGCACAGTCTAAATGCTGTGTAACTTTCGTAGTCCTCGGTTGACTTTTCCGGGTGGCCATTCCAGATCTTTGAACGTAACATTGAGTCAGCCTCCGTCCGACTTTCGGGGCTGGAGGGGTGCCAACTCCCCCGTGAACTCACCGGTTTGTTTACCATTCTCACGCATGTGACTTCCAAATGACGGATTGAAGTAGGCAAATATTTGTGCAGAGCCCTGGGTTCCCGGTGCCCTTATTAGATAACGATGATTATGGCCCAGCCAGTTTGCGCACGCGTCCGACTATTGCCCATTGCTCGGCGATAATGTTAATTATTTCTGTAATATATTCATGGATTTGTTTTTAACTCGAACTGAGACATTTCGACGCAGCACGTGCCGCGTTTTAACATTGCGATAAGGTGGTAAACAAATAAAAACGATACTAAGTTGATAACTTCAGCAAAGTTGCTTTCATGTTGAACCAACCCCTTGTGATGTTGATGGCTCAATAAGAAAGCTTAATTAAATCATAAAGAGGAAAATTTTAATAGATTTAAATACTTTTAAAATTATTATATTTTAGTTAAGGGTATAAATAACTGATTATTTTAGATATTTTTAATTTACCCTGCAACTACTTAGTATTTCCTGGCAAACGGATGATATTTGAGAAGATATATTCTTTTGCTTATTAATAATATCCTGTGTACAAACTACTGGTAAAACGGAAGTAAATATCAATAAAAAGTCCCTTAATTACTTTCTGTTTATTATATTCTTCCCCATTTTTAGAATTTCACAAGTAGTCATATATTTTACACATCAAATGTACAAGCGTAATGTGCACATGTAAATACGAGGGCCGGAACAGAGCGGACGAGGACTCTTTAGAGCTTGTGGCAACAGACAGGTTTCATTAAATTAATTAGCGTTCCGTTCCATTCCTTTCGCAAATACTGCCAGCTGCACGGAAACTCACTCGGCCATCCGGCCCTCCCGAGTTTTGAATGCGGAGCTCTGCGACACGGCAGCCACTTGATTTCACGGCGCCCTCAGACGGAAAATTATGTTTTTCAGTTAAAACTCAAGACTTATGTAAACACTCGTCCAAGCTCGGGTTGTACGCTATTTCAACTTAATGAATATTTGTGCCCGTGACTGCTGGCAAATAAACAGCCACTGCTAGTATTTCTCTTTGATCCTACACATGTGTAGGGATATGTGAAAAACTGAATGTTTTACTCATCTGTTAATACATCAGAATTTCTATTCTTTTGATATGAAGCCTACCTAGAAACGCTTGGTTATTAACATATTTATAAAAGTTTTTTTATACCCATAACTCGTGGAGAAAATGGGTATATTGATTCTGTTTATTAAAGGAAGCGTGTCCATCCCTATAAAGTATATGTTCTCTCTATAAAGCTATTGGGAATAATACAGATTCTAGAGATTCCTGCGCCACGTCTCTAACGGCAACAAACGTCACATTTTTGACGATTTTATTTAAGCGTAAATTCAAATTAATTATATTAATCAACACCTATCTATATTTCAATGTATTAATACTCTTATTAACATTGAATTTATTAATTGAATTAATTTTAAAATGTTTTTATCACAAAGTTGGTAATTATACCTTGAGGCATGACAAAAAAGCTTAGGCAGAAGACTTTTTCACTTTTAATAGATTATTCAACTTCTGATTCTGCATCTTGCAGATACCAAAAGTATCTTTTTAACGACACGAACAGAGGATGTTTAATGGGTGTTTACAAAAGGCAACCCATAAAGGGAAGCGTCTATTGTGTGGAACAGCCATTGGGCAGATACTTATCTGGCAATATATTAAGACAGAGTTCGTCCTCAGCCATCCATTTGGTACGCATCCGGTTGGTGACACTTACCCTTCGTTACCGTAATTAATTTCACTTTCAAGCCCCCGGTCCGCTTGTAAATATCTCGCCCAGACGAATTGCGACACGTGTATCAGGAGCCGGATTTAAACAGGCAGCAGCGATCCGATCCCACATTCTGTACGGAGTACGTATGTCCCATTGTACCACCCCCGCCCTGTGAAATCTTTCGGGCGGTTCCATACTGCGAGTTAATTCGTTCGATGTGGTTATGAATTAGGCACAACTCATCATTTGCAGCATCGACGGATGCTTCCACGGGGGTGGTCGGCCGAGGAAAAGCCAAGCAGACACACGATGATTGTGTTAACACCCCAGTGCCACCCATCCACACCCACCTCCACAACCTTGGATGTAGCCCCGGGCCGCAACGGTAACAATATGGCAAACGGCACGTGTTTTAGGGCTCTCCAGCAGTGCTATTCATAGCCGGCACCTCGAACCCTTTTAACGCATCCGAGTTGGGAACCCAGGGGATGGGAACAATAATATTTGATTTTATGTTCGGATACCTCTCATAACAGCCCATCAGCATACTAAGTAGTGCGACCTTTTTCATATTTCACAATAAATAATATTAAAATTGTTTTGAGTATGTATAGGAATAAGTTAATCTGAACTCGGAGTGTATGAAACTAATATAGATTTATAAGGGATGTTTTATAAAATTCATTGAGTTTGCAATAATATGTAGCAAACACTTCACCCCAAATCCAAAATAATTCTCATTTACAGAGATTGATTTGTATCATAAGAGATAGAATTTGAGTGTAATTAGATTAGTAAAATAAAATAACACAATTCAATCAAAACGTTATATGATATTTCTCAGGGTGCATAGAGAGAAACATTCAAGTACATTGTTCTTGAAATGAGAATGTTCGTTCTTAAAACCCGTGTAAGAACATTTTGGTATTAAGGTTCTCAATTTTAGAATAAGTGGTGAGAAATTATATACTATTGACTGTACTAGTAGATCATTTCTTGAGATATACAATGTAAACTAACTTGATTCGAGCAAATTGGAAACATTTTCAACTTCATAAATGTCGTTTTAATATTAAGAACATTTTCAGCTCGGTGAGAACTTCTAAATTTATTCTGCGAGGATTTTGCAATTAAAAAATTAAAATTAAAGATTTTTGGATTGATAAAAATATTAACAATGTTTGTTCAAGTGTCTCGCTGAGACCCCAAATCTGGTCAGTTTCCCTTCAGATTTCGGCTCTGCGTGAAAAATGTTTTAATAAGGCAAACAAAAGACCGCAACATAAACATAATAATTATTTATTGTTTCTGCAATTGTAATAGGCTGTGCTGGGTAGGATTGGACTGAAGTCCGCAGTGATTCAGTGTCGTGCAGAGCAGGGAAACCGAAGTCGAGGTCCGAGGTTCGAGGTCCGAGTTCCGATGGCACAGCGGGCGCTAGTTGACTCTTGGTTCTGGCCTGTGGATTGTGGCATAATCCGCAATCTGGGTTCCCAGCTCGGCGCATCCTCATCCTCAGCCCAAAG